TATCTATTAACTAAATATATGTTAAAATCTACCACTGACGTTTACGACTAAAAATAGTTACATTTTTTGTCTGTAGTGCATATGCTACAATATTTTGATACTAAGCGCTGTTAACCAACTTTGCAAATAACTATTACGGGTAGCGGGTGATAATAAGAAAATGCGAGAGGTAGGTTCATTAAAACCAAGGATCATCAGGTTAGTCAGTGAAATTTCTTGGCAACATCTCCAATTAGTGTTATTTTTATTTTATTACATTTACACAACGTACTACTGCAACCAATTAAATATATGTAGGTATCTGTTCTAATTGTTTTCAAGGCAATAATAAAAGATACACATAGTAATCAATATCGTAGTTAGTCTCAATGAGCTCAATAACTTCCTTCATTGTCAGTGTACGGGTGTTCAGCATAACCGTTTTATTTGTTTGCATTTACGAAGGCCACTGATCATTTAAAGTACACAATTTATATTTGCGGCTCCCTTAGTTTCTCTTGGTAACAGGAACGAGAAAAAATCTGATAGATAGAGTGGTATCCGTTGCCTATAGCAATGCCCAGCACAATGGCATCATATTGTCCATGTGTTGCCATTCCTGAGTACCAAGATATTATCCATCCATACCCTCTTATTATATATATATATATATATACCCTGGACAATTAACAAAGAGCCATCTTCGTTCAAAGATAAGCAGAGCTTGTATTATGGGTACTAGACAAATGACACAAATACTTAAATATATGTATTGTAAATGCATACATAATATACATAGAAAACATTCAGACCGATACAAACGATCATACTCATGAATACAAATGTTTCTATCATGTGAGGAATTGAATCCGCATTCCTCTGAAGCAAGGATGAGTGCTAAACCGATAGATCAACAGGCCATAATTTCACTGACATATCTCACCCTTGAAACCGAAACACAGCATACATAAAAAGTGTTGAAAGTTGAGGATCACTTTGTATAATGTCCACGTCGGTTACAAGTTATTTTAACAAATTCTTATTCCAGTTCTAGTTAGTCTTCTAAACAATGTTTGTGTAATATTGGAATGATTATACTAATTAACATAGATACATACCATTTTCCTATCAGGTGGGTAGCCAGGATAGCCATTTTCCTCTAACGCCGGTAGATCATTTGAAAATCCGGTTAACCGATCAATACCATAAAAAATTAACTTTTGACATTTCCTGTGAAATATTTACTATAATTAGAGAATATGTTAGAACAAGTCTCTAGCCTCGTTCCAATATAGCTTTATGGAAGCGATAACGACTGCAACATTCTTTTTGTACATAAATACATTTAAACCAGTACTGGTTAAAATAGAAATATAAAGAAATTCCTTGCAATTACGTTAAAATGTAACACGCTACTTATATATAGAATGTCACGAATTAGACACGTTACAAGTCACGCGTCGCTTTTATATGCTCGCCTTGAGACCTAGCAACCTTTCATTCTTCATGTTATACACCTAGTGTTGACAATATAAACATATCCTAGCTGTTGAGATGATGACTAGGTGTACACAATACTTATTATAAGAGAACTATAACCACACCTGCGTATCTTATTTTAGATTCGCGCTGGCCGTGGTAACCGTCGCAAGGTGATGCTGGATATTTTCACATTCTGGGTCACGATTTGTTTTGTCTCAGGGACGTTTCCTAAGAGCGTGCATGTTGTAAATATTTGTGACAGTCTGGTATTTCATAACGAATTTATTTATTCTCGTATTCTTTTGAAATTCTGGATTTAAAGGGTTCTTTATCCAAAGTTTAAATTTTAAGTCGTTATATCAGTCTAGTTATTATAGAACTTATTGTTGTAAAACATTATACAAATCTCGGTTTATCTATGATTATATATTATATTCTGTCATCTTGCTAGTAGTTTCATCATCATCAGCCCACTGCAGTCTACTGCTGGACATAAGCCTATTCTAGACGAATCCTTTCTTTTTTTTAATTATTGGCATCTGTAAATAGTATATAAGCCAAGGTCTATGTCTCCGTTTTTACAGTTAATTAAACGTAAATTATTAGGTTAACCGTAAATCATATTAGAATTCTAAACCAGGCTTTTTGATTGGTCTTTCACTGTTGATATTTTTCTATTGCTGTTTCTTATGTTACAATATAGCCTAATCATCATCATCATCATCGCAGCCCAGAAGACGTCCACTGCTGGACATAGGCCTCCCCCAAACCCTAATATTCTAATATATTTTATTACCTACAAAACGCTCATTTAAAAATCAAAATCGCAGAGTAATAGTACTTTTATCACTTATTGTAAAACGATCTATCTAGGATATATAGCTGTACATGATAAACCAGTTACGCGATGATGCTATACACTTATTAAGTCCTCTAAAAACACTTTTTCGTAATAGCTTTGATCATATAGGTACCTAAAGAGTTTGTGAACCTAACAGTCTTTTTGTAAGTTTTTGTAAGCTTTGTTGACATTATTGTAGTGATGAATCATATGATAAGTATTACCACAATTGATCCGAACAAAAATCAGCCTATCCTTCGTCATCCTCAATTCTGTAATATACCAATTTTTTTATTCTTATATATGATTTGTTATAAGACAAAACAGTGTAACAAACAAACAAAAAATACTTTTGTACTTCTTTCGTAAATTTTTAGCATCGACAATAAAGTTCTAGAAATTGGCACTTATATTCAATAATGAATATCATTAGCGTGCAGATGCGGTGTTTTGAGGCATCCCCGTTAAAAGTACCGTTAATCTCATGATGACACTACATGACGTCGATTTACCTGCAAGTTATGAATAGTGCGTTATGTTATTTAGATCCTGTGCCAAGACGAACATCATTATGATTCATTTACCGGTCGAGAATGCATTTTGGTCATCGAATGTTCCGCAAAGAAGGCATGTTTGCTAGCGTCATATTGTATCTTGATTTATAGATACACTCATACAATCCCTATTTACAAAGACTGCAAGGAAAAAGCAATTCTAACTCACATGCAATAGAATCAAAATTTCAATGCCTATATATCGACATTGTATTCTTTAATGCAGGTAGGATTTTTTTGCTGATGTCTCACGTATCACATACCTTTGTTTACACCTACTACGATTGTGAACTCTTTCACAATAACATTGTAAGCTATTACCGGATACATATTGGTGCCTATAAGATGTTTTATGAATTTAAATTAGTTCAACAAACAAGGTGACATCATTTGTACAGTGAGTGTACTGTTTGGTGTGCTTGTCTAATAATGAAATAATAGTCAATAAGAGAAGGCAACGCGCAATTAGACGTTATGATGAAGGTTACCAACCTTAAAAACTTCTTGCCTCGTACGAAGGAGTCAAAAATTCGTATGTTGGATCAATCTGACTCTCCAACCCTACATTGTACCTTCGGGGAGGTTCAAATAATCGTTTATTTGAACCACCCCGAAGGTACAATGTACAGGGGCGGGGGTGTCGCAGTTTCACTAATACCATAGTTGTGACGAGGTGGGTAAACAGATGTTAAACTTATTTATAACTCTTAACTCATACATTTCCGTAGGTCGAAAACTCATACAAAATTGTACGAGAATGGTAACATACTCGAAACTAGTGAAATCTTATACCTAACTGAGAATTATCATACATTTGGCAACCTTAACCATAATTGCTGTCCGAATTTCCCAAGTATAAGTAAGCAATGACTTTTATTTGTCAAGTTCGGCCTTGGAACTACCTCCGGAACAAATCATTCGTGCAATTTATCGGAGCGCTAAATAAAGCCAACTACTACACGTACAAGTACATAATAGATGATTGGTAGCTCTTTTCGCAATGGTTTCTGGGTATCCTATTGTTAGAGTTACATAATCAAATTGATTGATATGATTGATATGTTTACCTTGGATTCTTGTTGAAATATTTTAGAATAGGTGTTTTTTTATATATTGTATTTAATGAAAAAGAATCTATGAATATATTTTTATACAAACTAAGTTGTGGGTAGTTGCTAGTTTCAAAATAAATCTGGCAACTACGCGTGGCATTATCTTTCGCATTCCTAACTATATTGTTTGTAGAATTGTGTTCTAGCTACGAATATATCGGTCGAGGTTACGGCTGCTAATAACCGGTCGCAAATTCGGCTGGCGGAGGGTCGGACCCTTCTAACGCGCCCCTGCTCGCTGCAACTGCAGTATTGATTAATGGCACTTGTCTGCCTTTTAAATTATACTTACGAACACCTACATTACTTCACGGTACAATTGTTGTTGCAAACTCTTGGCATATTTTTATTATATACCAGCTGTGGTTTCGGCCACGTGAAATTTATAGCCTATGTGTTAATCTGATGTATAAGCTATATTTCTGTAAAGTTTCATAAAAATCCGTTTAGTAATTTTTGCGTGAAAGAGTCAAACTCAAACTGTCGCGTTTATCTTATTAAGATGTTTAAAATTATGTTGTATGTATTTATTGTACATGATTGTCACTTTCTGGCTTTCATTGCTTTTGACATTCCTTCTTCTAGTATTTTGTTACAATTATTTACCATCTTATCCGTAGTTATTTTCCATATTACATCCCAAATACAGCCCATATTATAAATATTACTAAATCTTGTGTAGGAGAACTGTGTTTAAAATCGGAGTTAAAAAAAATCTTCTAACTTCACTCCACCCCTTTAGAGTTTCGTATGTCTTCTATAACGATAAAAAATGAAGCGACTTAAAAAGAACCGATTTTTCAAACAAACGGGTAGTGAAAAGTGTAAAAACACCATAAAAAATAAAATATAAAGGTCAATATATCTGAGATGAACTCCTAGTAACAATGTGTTAGAATTGCTTTTCACGTAAATAAGTAATATTTTCCAACACACAGTCTCAAACACGACAGGGGTCTTAAACACTAACGGCATAATACTAGTACATCTAGGTTCTCGATTAAATTGACATTTGCCACTATTTCTTTCCAGACATTCACAGCATGGTGCAACAGTCACCTGAGGAAGGCCGGAACCGGCATAGAGAACATCGATGAAGATTTCCGCAATGGGTTGAAGCTCATGCTTCTGCTGGAAGTCATCTCCGGCGAAACCCTGCCCAAGCCTGACCGCGGCAAAATGCGATTCCACAAGATTGCCAATGTTAACAAAGCTCTGGACTTCATTGCTTCCAAAGGTATTTACAGCAAAATTCTAATTAATATTTTATTTCCACGCTCCTCCATTTGGCAACCATTGTAGTTAAGAGAATGTTCTACGATAGACTTGACTTCATCATCATCCTTGACTGGTTCCCCACTAGAGTATACAGTTTTGCCTTTAGTTCGCCACTGCATATACAGCCATAATAAATATGAAATAAAAAATAACCTAATAATCAATTAAAGTTTTTACAAATATAATATTGTGAAAAATAAATTTCTAATTTGCCAATTCAATAATCAGTATAGGATATATGAACCATAATATCTCAACAACAGTAATCAATTATTACATTTCATATTCAATACTGATGCGCATACAAAAAGTGGCTTTGATTAGATTTAGTTAAATATTTAGATATCTACGCGAACGTCATAATCGCAAAAAAGACAAAATTATATACATTCAAATTGCATTCATATATCGTTTTATTTATAAAATTTCAGGTGTCAAGCTGGTATCGATCGGTGCTGAAGAAATCGTTGATGGCAACCTTAAGATGACTCTTGGTATGATCTGGACCATCATTCTACGATTCGCCATTCAGGACATCTCAGTAGAAGAAATGACTGCTAAGGTAAGGATATATAAATTCGCATTAAAGTACATAATTTATCATATCGTATCTTCTATGTACAATAAATAAACAACGATAAAAATAATATAAATAACATAAGGTATACACAATAATGGTACAGCAGTATAGGTTATCTTTCTTTGCTACTCCTCTTTGTATCTACAACAACGAGATCTATCTCTGTGCCATCACTTCTGTACATTCTACTAATTTTATAAATGCCAAATTTTGTGAGGTATAGTGTACTTTTGCTACTATTACCAAACTACTGAAAGAATTTTAATTAATTTCGGACGGATCATTTTGTAGATTTACCAGAATGCCGTGAGTTAGCATTTTATAAAGAAGAAAATTCATTGTAAATCTGTATAATTACAGGAAGGTCTGCTACTCTGGTGTCAACGCAAGACTGCACCATACAAGAATGTCAACGTCCAGAACTTCCATCTCTCATTCAAGGATGGTCTGGCATTCTGTGCTCTAATCCACAGACACAGGCCAGACCTTATCGATTACAGCAAACTATCAAAGGACAATCCTTTAGAAAACTTGAACACTGCTTTCGATGTAGCAGAGAAGTATTTAGACATCCCTCGCATGTTGGACCCTGACGGTAAGTTCCTTTTAAGTATTAATGCGTCCATATATATATATAGATCTATATACTATATATAGACGCATTATAAGACAAGACAAAATAAACTAGAACGCATAAATGAACACCAAAAGTAAAAACTCATTACATCTCCAGATAAGTGTCAGTTGACTCATTGTTTATGAAATAAATAATAGGTTGACCAAACCTGGTCTTTTTGTTGTTCCGTATTTGGCAGAATGAAATCAGATGCGTCCATTTATAATTATGACATGTATGAACTAAATGTAATGAATATTACAGACCTTATAAACACACCAAAGCCGGACGAGCGCGCCATTATGACTTATGTCTCGTGTTACTACCACGCGTTCCAAGGCGCGCAACAGGTATATGAAAACGATGGTCGACCACTACGCTGATTTGTTTTACCCGACCCTAACGCTAGGCCTGTGTGTATCACTTATAGCATGATCTGAGAGCTTCATATAAATTCCATGTATCCCTTCATATCTCCCGTCAATATTGTCCCCTGCATTCATTTATAAATATACTTTTGAAACACGTACAACAGCACATTCGACCACGATTATTAAAGCCGTAATCGGCATAGTCGTTGAGAATATTATAAGTACAAATACCTGCGAATGATTAGTCTAATGATATATTATTTACATTCATACAGTTTGGTCATTGTTCTAAAATTGCAATATCAAGTATCAATATATTAATCCTTTCTTCGAACACATGACGTAATAATGTATATCAAAATATCTCAAGATAAAGTTAACAAAATTAAATTCCAAGACATAAGTACTACAATATACAATATTACGAATTTATCGAGAGAAACGGCGGCAATATATAAATATTAATATAGATATTGTGACATTACAAATAGATAACAAATTAATTATTTCGATAAAAAAAATTACTGATAAAATTTATGCAATTAGGTAGTTGATTTCCTGATTCCTTTAAATGGGATGATATTTATGTTGCAATTTTCGATAAATAAATGTAATATTATTGGCGTTTTGTTATTAACAAAGCTAAATTTATTATTACCAATAGATCTAAAAACCTCTCATATATAAATTAAATTATTTATTAATAATAAAATGTTGTAATCATAAAATAGCTTGAGCTTAGCTTCTAAGCCGATATTTCATTTTTATTGACATGAAATTACTTAAAAATATTCGTAGCTCAATTATGAATTCTATTGTCATGACTGTAAAATCCAAAAGCTGTTAGCAACATATTAATTGTACAGTCTTCAGAAACAGAAATTGTTTTCATATATCATAAACTCTACTAAAACATCCTGACACATAAATGTTGTCCATCTATGTTTAGCACCTAGTCAGAGTGATTTAATTTTGTTATCTGATGTGAATAAATCATCAGTGAAAATTTAAAATTGTTGAAAGCATGAACACTAACCCTTGTGTCGCTTGCGTGCCGCTTATCAGATCTACAGAACACAGCGATGCCAGACGAGAGGGCTGTCATGACATACGTCTCGTCATACTACCATTGCTTCTCTGGCGCTCAAAAGGTTTGTCACATAAACCTAATATTGCTTTATATGATTACTAATTACCTATATTTTCTTTTGAGTAAGTTTCCCTAGATATAATTGTATTTTACTTGACCACAGTATATTTGAAAGAAAACGAGGCTTACACTGTCCTAGTTAGCATAAAGCATCTATTTTATTCTAGTAAAACATAACTAAACATAAGTCGCAAACGCATATGTACCCCTAGTGTTCCAGAAGCTATAGTAACCGGTTACCATCAGATGGACCGTATGCTTGTTTGCCAATGTTGTGATATTAAATAAACTTTATTAAAATTTCATGAAAAAGTACATGTTCTTATTTTTATTAGACTTTTGTTTCCAATAATTTTAATATATATTAATAATCAAAATATTTTTTCTAGGCTGAAACCGCCGCGAACCGCATCTGCAAGGTTCTCAAAGTTAATCAGGAGAACGAACGCCTGATGGAAGAGTATGAGCGTCTTGCCAGTGATGTAAGTAATAGTTCAATTTGTTATAACAAATCTATAATATTAAAATAAAGTCTGATTACTCTGAACTTCTGAAATAATTAAAACAAAATACTTCATACACTAAATAATATACTAACTACTTATAAAAAAAATATTAATTTAATTCATGTTTCATACTTCCAAAACTTCTTTATTCTCGTATTATTAATATCATGATCAGGTAATCAGGCCTTAACACGAATAATTTTATATCGAGTAAGATTTCCTCTTTTGAAGTTTCGACTATGTTGCACTAACTGACTAGAATACATCTAATTTAGGTATCGTTTGATCGTTCAACTACCGCATACATTATCCAAAGAACATCGCAACACACGTAGCACTAAATTCAGACATAATTAATTATGTTAATATATACCTACTAAACGCGAAAGTTTAAAAGTAACTGTTTATTTTTTAAGTTACTGGACTGGATCCGGCGCACGATGCCTTGGCTGAACAGCCGCCAGACTGACAACTCACTCGCTGGCTGCCAGAAGAAGCTGGAGGACTATCGTACTTACAGGTTAAACATATATTTTTATTGATAACTTCTTATTTTTATCGTCAGCTTGACGGCAAACTAGCAAACCTAATGGTATGCAGTAACCGACGCCTATATATGTGAACAGAAGCACATCATGTTGTCAACTAACACACGTGATGCCACTCATGCGTCGCTATTCCAGAGGATTAAGATGTCATGCCTCTTACAATGTAATTTCACTGCTTAATCTGCACCAAACAATAAAACACAACTTACAATGCAAGCTATTTAACGCTGGCGGCTGAAATAATGTCAAGTAGGTATCCATAAGCAAAGCAAGTATCTACTAACATTTTTTTATGTATTATAAGCTAATGACTAATCTTATGATAAGTGGAAATCATCTTATATAGACAACACCATTTTGTCATGTGCCTCGGCCATGTCACTTAACACGCGTAGTATGTCTCCTTACCATGAAGTTACACAGGCTTGTATCAGTCTTTAAACGCCTTTAAAAATTATTAGGGGCAAAATTAGTTGAGACAGAGGTATCCAAGAAAGCGTTTCTGCACAAAGTCTATCTTGGTTAATTACCCTGGATAGTTCGCACAGCTCCATCTAGTCTCAACCTAAGCAGACCTTGTGTTATATGTACTATACGATTGATATCACATTAATACTTAAATATATACATGAAAAACACCCAAACCGATACAAACTCGTCCATAGAAATGTTTGTTCCGTGAGAAGAATCGAACTCACGACTCTGTACTTCAGTACACTGGGCTAACAATAAACCGTTGGACCACCGAGGCTATCACTGACTGACAAAAAGACATTGAAATAGTATTTTTATTATTCAGGCGTAAACACAAGCCGCCACGCGTAGAGCAGAAGGCCAAGCTGGAGACCAACTTCAACACCTTGCAGACCAAGCTGCGCTTGAGCAACCGCCCCGCATATATGCCCACCGAAGGCAAGATGGTCTCTGTAAGTATAACTTTATCTTCCACAAGTCGTAAATGGTTAATATTTTTACTTACTACCTACTTTTTTAATGGCTTATAAAAAATAATAAGCAGCAATATAATTTATGACAAAATCGCATCGATAAATTTTGTCTATGGTATTCGCCCTTTTGTGGAATTATCCCAATCTTGCGTCATTAGGTACAAATTATTTTTTGTAAATGAATGAATCTCTTTAATATCTATAACATGTTTTTTCATATTTACAAGTATTTCTTTTGATTAAATATAGATTGTAAAGAGCTTCCAGTATATTCAAGCCCGCCTCTATTGTAACAATTTATGTGTGGCACTGCAATTTTTTTACAATCAATTTTAAAAGCAATCTTGTTACGTAGGTTCAACTAATTAAAATATTAAACAAATTAAAATTAATTAAATTAAATAATGCAGAATATTATTTATTTTTAATTGAATAAGTTTATTTAATGGGCTCACCATTTATAGGACATCTCTCAAGCATGGAAGGGTCTGGAAATCGCTGAGAAGGCATTCGAGGAATGGCTTCTCAGCGAGATGATGCGCCTTGAGCGTCTCGAGTATCTCGCCCAGAAATTCAAGCACAAAGCCGACATCCACGAAGACTGGACCAGGGGTAAGTATTACAAAACACATTTCGTTTTATTCAATATAGCATAATAGGAGACTCCTATAAGGTAACCTCACGCTGTAAATTTCTCGTTTACATTAGAAGCTTAAAAATCTTTTTTAGAAGATAATTACAACTACGGATCGTCCGTTTTGCGTCTGATGGCCTACAGGTCATTACTGCAAACATCATAATTGTGCTAAAAAAGCGCAGCCAACGCAGAGCGCTGTATTAGGCAAGTGTATAGGTAACCTAACAAACTGTTCGTTTAGAAAGACAACAAAGAACATGGTAATTATAATATTAAGGGAATATGCGAACATTTACTAAGCCAACTAAATTGTTATAAATATTTACATTAAACAATTTTTATCTCCATTACTTCACAGGTAAGGAGGAAATGTTACAATCGCAAGACTTCCGTCAGTGCAAGTTGAACGACATCAAAGCTCTTAAGAAGAAGCACGAGGCGTTCGAGTCGGACCTCGCAGCGCACCAAGACCGCGTCGAGCAAATTGCGGCCATTGCACAGGAACTCAAGTAATTAACTTAATTTTTTTATTCTAATGTAAATTGTATGTGTATTCTCTTATGGATAAAAATTAAATCAACAATCCCAAAGTCGAATCAAGGCAATGAGTGGCTAGTTGGATTCTATTGCTGTGGATACAGTATAATATATAGAATGTTCTTATAACTTCGGGTTTCCGCATCAGTGCCACATCAGAGAAAAGTAAAATTTGATAAAAAAAATAGCAAATAGTGTGGTTATAGAATATAACTTTATTTGTGTTTATAACGCGCGTGTTTAATGAGCTGAAATTAGACCCACTTATTTATGTGTGTTGAAAAATTAATAATAATTTAAAATTTTTGGACATTCCAACATTATATTGTTAGTAGCACTAGTATTACCCTCTCACTACTAGCTATGCCACGTCTGTTAGGTTGACTGGTAGAGATCTCTTTTAGAGATAAGTCCACCTTATAATTAAGTTTACTATTGTATTTCAAAGTGTAATAAAGAATATATAAAATAACACTATGTGTGGTGCGTGTGATCATGACAAGGGCCCTCACTGCGAGCTGAGTAACCACATGGTGAAATTAGGCCTTACCTCAAAATCAATCTGCCGATTTTGCCAAACAGAAGAGGAAACGCCACTATATGTCCTATGTGATCGTAGCCGGCTCATGCATAAACGAAATATCTCCGGGGGAAGGTATACACTATATCGTCTAGGTAGCGAACTTTGAATAAGGGCGAGCACAGTAGATCTTTACAGGTCTTAGCACTCGACAATAGCCCAAAGCTCCCAATAAATTTAAAATAAAACGGTGGTGGTGTGTGTCAGCACGCTGGAGTACCACGAGGTGGGCGCGGTGAACGCTCGCTGCCAGCGCATCTGCGCGCAGTGGGACCGGCTGGGCGCGCTCACCCAGCGCCGCCGCCAGGCGCTCGACGACGCCGCGCGCGTGCTCGAGCAGGTCGACCTCCTCCACCTCGAGTTCGCCAAGCGCGCCGCGCCCTTCAACAACTGGTCCGTACCTATGCTTTATATTATTATTACACGTTGAAAAAAAAATTATTTTTTCTTGAAAAAAACAATTTTAACGTACCACTATTAATAATTAATTTATTATTTATTATTGATGATTACAAAAATTGAGTTTTTTTTATTATTTTGTATACATACACATATACAAACTAACTTAAAAGGCGGTTTGTATGCGATATACGTGTTTCAGATACACCGTATCATATTCTCTATGGAATTCTTCCATGGAAAGTTATTGATGATACTTTAAAAATAATATTGCAGGCTGGATGGAACCCGCGAAGATCTGGTGGACATGTTCATCGTCCACACCATCGAGGAAATCTCTGGTCTCATGGACGCACATGCTCGATTCAAGGCCACCCTCGGCGAAGCTGACAAGGAATACCAGGTCTGTGTTACGAAGAGAGGCTCTTCCCAATAAAATAGTATTATTTATAGATCATTTTAACAGTATTAAATAGGTATAGATAGTATCATTTGACCAATTCAAAAAAGATGCCTTTTCTTACAAGTTTACCTGCGCGGCACTACTAATTCTCTTTTCCCATGATTATTGTGAAATAAATTAATGAGTATACTTTTTAAACAAACCTATCTTATTTATATTGAATCGGATCAAACGATATCTGAGCTCATACAGTTAATGAAATAAACATTCAAACATCTTAACCTGCGCATGTATAATATTCGAAATTTGTTACAGGCTATAGTAAATCTGGTGCACCAAGTGGAGTCCATCGTCAAACAGCACCAGATCCCCGGTGGGCTGGAGAACCCCTACACCACTCTTACTGCTCACGTAAGTCAAAGATCACTACTATCTCTATAACGTGAATTTGATAGCATTCACTCTTGTTTCCCGATTGACACCTAATTTCTGTCTTCGACAGTATATTCCGGATACTATGTTAGAATCTTAAGATTAATAGATGCGTCACGAATAATATAAATGTCACGTACGTGTGACTTCGTGACATTTACATATTACAGTCAGAGAATGTTTCTATAAATCTCAATACTAAAAAACATTGTGTTATTTTGCATATATGTTGGTCTGGAAACTATTGTCCCAATAAAATAAATAATCAAAATCCTTAGAAGTTAACATTTTAAGAGTGATGGTCCATTGTATGTACTACTATAAAAAAACAAAAACGGGGATATAAAAGTATCTCCCTTTTTGAAGTTAGCAACTCTGAAAACTTGTATCCCTTTGTAGGCTCGAGTGCCTATAATGTCCAAGGAAATGTAAAGATGTAGACAGATATAAACAACAACCTGTATAACCAGGAGCTGAACCGCAAGTGGTCGGACGTGCGACAACTGGTGCCACAGCGGGATGGCACACTGGCTGCGGAACTTCGCAAACAGCAGAACAACGAGGCGCTGCGACGACAGTTCGCGGAGAAGGCCAACGCCGTCGGGCCTTGGATCGAGAGGCAGATGGACGCTGTTACCGCAATCGGCATGGGCCTGCAGGTACGTATCTTGTAAATCTTACAAGTTAGGATTTTATACTCTTAATAACAAACCCCAAAATCTCCTAAAAACATCTCACAGATATAATATTAAAGTTTTCATTACAATTTGAGTACCTGACATCGCCGTAGAACCGCTGCCGGAAAATAAAGCGGTGAATTAGGACTAGCACTTCTTTTTAAATTTTTATTTTTCATTAATTTAGAGTCTGTCTATTTTTGCTACGCCAAAAAAAGAAAAACTAGACAATATATGAAAAGTGTTATTAAATCATACACCAGACCGTGAAATATTTGACTAAATAATATGTTACAGGGCTCTCTAGAAGACCAGTTGCACAGGCTGAAGGAATACGAGGCAGGCGTATACGCGTACAAGCCACACATCGAGGAGCTCGAACGCATACACCAGGCTGTACAGGAGGGCATGATCTTCGAGAACAGGTACATAGGAGTTAACCTTGTGATAACCCATATCAACAAATACCTATATATATACATTGCTTTTTACTAATGAATTATTATGAGTAAAAAGCTTTTATCAAAATATTTTATAGTGATACAGTATAAGATTCCTATTACGTGATAGATTTCGTTTAATAACTAAACAATTTTATTATTGAATATTATTTACTATTTTAGCAAGCTTCAGTTCTAAATATCATTAAAAAAAAACAAAACATATATATATATATATTAATTTAATTTGTCTATTTACAATTTCCGTTAATAAATATTATCACTTAATGAATAAGAGTAATTGTAGAGTAGGTAACTAGGTATATCTTAAGCCCATTTTTCAATAGGTAATATATTTGACAGGTATTCACAATACACAATGGAAACGTTACGAGTCGGTTGGGAACAGCTGCTCACGTCAATCAACCGAACCATCAACGAAGTGGAAAACCAGATCCTCACACGCGACTCGAAGGGTATCACACAGGAGCAGCTCACAGAATTCCGTTCATCGTTCAACCACTTCGACAAAAACCGCACTGGTATACAGACTAATAAATTTAATCTTAGTAATATTATAAAAAATGTGCGTGTGGATGGATGAATTGATTACTCTGTACAAAACTATGGATTGGATTGAGCTTCATCAGAATAACACATAGGCTATAATTTTTACGCGGATGAAACCGCGAGCACAGCTAGTAAACCATAAAATGAAGTAGAAGGTAATTTAAGACTCTTCGAATAAATACCGACGCAATCTTTATAAAATTACTAATATACGTATACACATAAAAATAGGCAAAATACATTGAAACTAACGACTCATTTTTGCCGTACATAATTGATTTAAAGATAGGAGATTCTCAAATCGATTTTTTTTAACACTGTGTGTGTAATATTCTCTATCTCCAACTGAAAATAAACTGGTTCTCTTTAGCAAAAATGTAGTTAAATTATCATATATACTACTATAATTATCTATCTAAATACATGTGTTAAAAAACGTAACTAGTTCTGAAACGACTAATGCAGTTTCTACAAATATATTTATAATAATCTCTAAATTAACTACTCCCAGGCCGCCTAGCACCCGAAGAGCTGAAGTCTTGCCTGGTGTCTGTTGGATACAGCATCGGCAAAGACAGACAAGGAGAACTCGACTTCCAACGCATTCTCGCTGTTGTCGATCCCAACAATACAGGTATAAATTGGATACTTATAATTGTTACGAATAAAATAAAATTTATTCAGAGTTCATATATACTTAATTTCCTATATAAAACATTTCTAAAGAGGCAATCATTTTAATTGCTGAAATATACTTTTTATTTTGTCATTAAAAAACACAATGTTTAAAACAGTGGATAGATTTTTACTGTTAATGTTTCATTTTAAAGTGGACTGTTACTTATTACAAGTTTTTAACAGTTTATGACTACCATATTTAATATACTATCTAACGTTAAACACAGTTAGATAGTACTGGTGCAATTAAAACATATATAACAATACTCTACTTATTAAATCACATCAAGCCGTTTAGTATATTATACATATATACAGAGAAAATCATTAACCGTTTGTCTTCAGAAGACTGATAATATTATTTAATTTTGTAATATAATGTTTTAGGTTACGTGTCGTTCGATGCGTTCCTGGACTTCATGACAAGGGAATCTACAGACACAGACACCGCTGAACAAGTCATCGACAGCTTTAGGATTCTAGCCGGTGATAAGGTATGTAAAGAAATATGTTTTTTTAATTAATTTGGAATCTCAAAGAAGTCATGCTGTTCATTAGGGTCACGTGATTGTTGCCAATTCGAAGTCTCTCTAGACTATATAGTATCATGTAATTGTACATTAAATTACCTCGCTTTTCAATCGAAATACAGATTATAAATATGTTGAAAAATTTGAGTTCGTGATATTACAATAAATATAACAATTATCAATGAATAAGATTAATGTCAGGAATAATATGTTGAAGGAATGTTGGACTCCAGTCTCCGCAATTAGCCTCTCATTCGGGCCGTTATGCGTGCAATGTTGAAGGAATGTATTGAACCGTTACGGTCGCAACTGTATCATGAACTATTACTATTAAGAATGAATACGATGAATGTCAATACTAATAATATACGTAACAATTGTACTATACGTTTGCGTTTGCAGCCGTACATCACGGCGGAGGAGCTGCGACGCGAGCTGCCGCCCGACCAGGCGGAGTACTGCGTGGCTCGCATGCCGCCCTACCGCGGGCCCGGCGCGCCGCCCGCCGCGCTCGACTACATGGCCTTCTCCACCGCGCTCTACGGCGAGACCGACCTCTAGGTACCCCCGCACACTCTAACCTACATGCCTATACTGTATGCTGCCTACAGTGAAAATTGATACTAGTAACATCCGCCGTATCAAATCACAGCAGGAACCTAAGAATTTATAAAACCAAGCATTTTATATATAATCTGCGAAACAAATAAAATATAAGACAATAAATACCTCACGCTGTTATATCCCCATTCCCTGTAATTTCTTAGCCATACGTAACCCTACAAACCGAAACGCAACTTGCAAAGCAAACTGCTGATGCTTAATACGAAGACGGCTTTATAAAAAGTTCTTGGATAATAATATTTCAAAAACAAGTCAATAGTGTCTAAGCAGTCATAACACAATTTGTAAACGTAAATAATTATATATATACAATAAGGTTATCAAAAACGAAATGGTAGTTGGAAATGAAAATCGTCACCATTTAACCTTGTCATTATAAACCAACTCAAAACAAATTCTTGGCTCACAGTAGGTACATCTATTCTAATTGTTTACATCTGTGTACAGAAACGGCTTTGGGTTTATGTAGCAATAATAGATATACGAAAGCAATGTTTTTCTGCCAAATCTTCTAAAGAGAAGCGTAGCAACTAAATCCGCTAATTGGAGTTCATTTGAATGTTAGTTGCATTCGAGCAAACTGAGGGACTAATCGAGCGACCAAATTTAGAGTTTAGACAATCGAAATTCATAAATCGAGATGTTTTATCATGTAGTTCACTAATTTTATGACTTAGACACAGGTCTCAGAAGAATACTGAAGATGGGAGAACGTCGCCGCCGCGCCGAGCACCGAAAGCACTAATCACTTGGCTCGAGATATCACTTGGTGTTGGCGTCACGACACACAAAGAGTATTTACTTTACATTGGCAGGGAATACCTAAATCGCCCTAAAGCCCGTCAATGTAACGAAAACAGTCTTTGTGATAAATTTAGTCTATTAAACAGTTCTATATCAATATGTGCAATGTTCAAACCAAAAATGCCATTAACTTTCATATACAGTAAACTCTGCTCCCTAATGTTTATAGTAACCTTTTGGCTCAAATCAGAGGAATCACTTTATGTTTACAACTCTCTATTTATACATTAGTATTAGGTAATTTTTAACTTTTATATGAAATCCTCAGAAAGTCACAAGAAACTTATTATGTAAGATAAAAATGGTGCTAATATTAGGCTTGACTAATGTGTGACACCAAAATAAGACTCATTCACATTGTGAGAATGTTGATGTTATATTTTTTTTATTTATAAGCAAACATTATTTATACAAGTTTAATTTTTGATTACTGCCACTAGTAATTATTAGTACTTCTATGGTAGATACCTAAGAACAAAATTGTTCTTAGGTAGGTATACATTAAGTTGTCAAAATTTATAAATGTTGCAGGGAAGCGTCACACATATTATTTATATCACGTTGTAATGCCATTACTTGCCTGCATCTATTTATTTATCATTTTGAATATCATTTTTATATGATTTTCGTTTGTGCGAGTATTTTGGATGGAGTACTCAAAATAAATGATCTGCCATATGTTTTGTCTTTTAATATTGACTGCTCTGTTCCAACAAATTACAACAATAATGGTGAAAGTAGAGGTATAGAAATTAAGAAAGGATTATGTGCCCAAAAACGTATACTAACTCGAATGTACAGCTAATTTAATAAAGAGCTCTTAAAAACATTGCATATTTTATTTACAACTGCTTAGACATTATTTATTATAGGTACAACAGGAACCAAATTATATTTTTTGCTTTTATGTACAATATTCAATATATTAAAAACTAAGTAACTTGAAGGGTTTTAATACATTTTAGTGCAGTGACATATCTACTGTCAATCATACCTAATTGGTACATTTGTATCCAGCCTTAGTTACGGGTGTTACTAGGATGGTACTGAAACATGATAGCACATGGTTTAGCCCACCAGCATGCCATAGAAACCATCATACAGATTATTTATAGCATACAAATAAGTAACAGAAATATTAAAAGTAGTAAGTTAAAGATAAAATATATGGAATATAATCAGATCTAGATAGTCCTCACTCTCCTCACTCAAAGATCAAAGAGCTGTCAAAGTGTATAAATAAAACAGTACATATAAAAAAAATGAATTTAATGACTATTTATTATGAAATTAAACACTACTAAAAATTAAAAGTAATTCAAGCTACCTACCAATATTTACATTTAGACTCCAGGCATCACTAAGCAGTGATCATATAACATTTTTTTCCATGCCTATAATTACTAAACTCTGTCCAGTAAAGAAAAAAAATTATATAACATTATTATATACAATTTGTCTCTTTTTAACAATAGCATTTCAATGTATTTTTAAATGCACATATCTAATGAAATTGAACATATTATTTTAAATCCCTACAGTTTTAAAACATCTTTATGGATTGTAAACAAAATTGTGATCATACAGCTGAGAAAAAAATAAACTGTATGCAAGAGATAAGTTATGAAATATACCATACAATATCGACGTAACATATACATAAATCTTTGTGTTATGAAGACAGACTATAAATGAGGTAAGTATAACTGATATTATGTAAAATTACATAATTATAACAGCACCACAACATTTAAATTTTAGCTTCAAATTGTGTAACAATATTTATCACATTATAATTTAACTACAATAATTAATAAAGGAACACACAAAAGTTTAATTTCAATGACAAGTCACTTAATGTAATTTCACTATTACATATGAGAAATATTCATATGAAAATAGTAGAGCACTAAAAGATATGCAATCAATATTTTGTAAAATAATAAAGTTCAGGTCATTCAATATACTCAGTAATAATAATAATGAATAAACTTTAAATGAGTCGACCACAAATTTAATTACAAATTCTATCTATAATTTATTTGAATTATTATATTACTTTTTGTCTTCTTCCTTTGGTTGTTCAGCTGTAAGTAATGCACTCTTTATGCCAACTTTCTTCAACTCTTCAACAAGTTCTCCAGATTGATGCATTTGCAACATAATATCGCAACCACCAACAAATTCACCATTAATAAATACTTGAGGGATTGTCGGCCAATTTGAATAATCTTTGATTCCTATAAACAAATAATTTTTTGTACACATATTTCATTTGAAAATAAAATAAAAGTTAATAAAATATTTATATTAACTATTTATAATAGTAACAAAAATAAATTATTGTATTTATTTTTATACCTATAAATATATGTAGCGAGTGAGATTTGTATGTAGGACTCTATTTCCGCATTTACCCTCTCATCCAGGCAGTTGTGCATGTAGTTCATTAACAGTAATCATTAAAATAACTAGCTACGTAGCCCGTAAATTCAGTTAGTATGTATTGTACGTTAATTCATGTATTTTAGGCTATTGAAATCTCAAATTTCATTAAAATGTCTGTCCAGATTTTGTGTAAAAAGTATAAACATACATCGTATTGCTAAAATACGCTTTTATAATAATAACAGAACTAAAGAATAAATAAAATGTTATCTAACCTTGTCTAATATTTTCATCCGAAAGGACATCGTGACTTTCATATGGAACAGCGTGCATCCGCATTATCTGGACTACGGCATTACTAAAGCCACATCTAGGTGCATCTGGAATTCCTTTCATAAATACTACAACTTTATTATTTTTTACTAATTGATCAATTTTATCCTTAGTTGCAGCATCCGCAAGAGAGCGACAGGATAATTTCACGGCATTATTGTAAATTGATAACAAGTTTCTTCTCAACAAGTTATTCATTTTTTAATAAATTACTATTTATATGAACAAAATACTTATTACAAGTTTGTTTTAATATTATTATAGTAATTTCTTGTAAAAATAATTCAAGAAAAATAAAAATAGACATTTTTTTTCCCATATTCGTCCATCTCCTTTTCAGTGATGGAACAGGCAAAGATCTTTTTTTTTTTTTTCCCATATTCGTCCATCTCCTTTTCAGTGATGGAACAGGCAAAGATCTCCGTATCAATCAAGTGATGAGGCCAAAGGCCAATTGTATGTTTTTGTCATAGACAGTAACTTGCTTATTTTAAAATTATTGCCATGTGCGAAAAAACAATTACGACTTTTATGAGGCAAAATGATTGGTAATTCCGGAATTCCTGTTAGCAACGAAAATTAATCTCATCAAAATTGCCTTTAATAAAAATCGCATTAAAATTTTTCAAATCATTTTGTAACAAACAGTCATAATCAAAAAGGCAATTTTTGAATACAATCCACAGAGTCAATCAGAGTCATAATCTGTGATCGTTATCAATAGCATTGAAAGTCATCTGTGGAAAGGATAATCTAGCATAGTCTTTTTAATCTGTGGTAAGCACCAATAATATGTTGATCTGTGAAATAATTCTGTACTGTGAATAATCAAATTGCTGTTTAGAATTTGTTATAAATTCTTTATATTTATTTATTGAAACATCCACATTCTTCTATTTTCTAAAAATTAGAAAGTATCTTACGTAAATTTTGTAATTCATGAATATGGAAAACGCAGAAGAAATTTTTCATTTCCTAGAAGAGTTCTCAAAACGCAAATCGAAAAATATACCCCAAGAACTAAACGACTATTTGGCTTACGTTGCACGTACCGGCGATCCTGTCTACCAGTGGTCTCTTGTCAAGTGCTTATTTAAAGAAAAATTGTTAAATGCGATTACAGATTTCTACGACACTGCACCAGGTCTCGATATACCGCCTTACCCAAACGTGGACCCTTTCAACTATGACACCATGAAAAATAGCCTATTAGAACGTTTGGATTCCTTTTCTTCAGCACCTTTCACCGTGCAAAGGATTTCCGAGCTTCTTACTTGCCCCCGTAAGCAATATAATAGAGTTGATAAATTTATGAGAGCTATAGAGAAAAACATTTTAGTAGTGAGCACTAGAGAACCAGGCATACAACGTCATGTTGACCCAGATAATGTGGAGCCTATGGAACCTATAGTGAATGGTTCAGATAACAACTCGGAATGCAATGTTGATGTTGAAATGGAAGATATGTCTTGGAAGGAAAATATAGACCAACCGCAGAACTCTGAACCACAACCTGGATCTTCTGATGCTCACATATCCATAGAAGATATTGAAGCAAGACTGAAAGCTAAAAAAGATAGCCCCGTTGACATTAAAGCAAAAATAGACCCTCAATATGAGTCTGTAACTCCACCGGAACTGAATGTGTCACCTGACATTCCAGCTAATGAAACTAAAAACACTCTATCTAATACCAATGTTGACACAATTTCCTCAATAGATGATGAAACTAAAATTGGAACAGGTACTAACATAACAGAACCTAATATTGAAACAAAAACTGATGTAGAAATGGCAACAGAAGATACAGTACCTCATGCATTAGTTATCCCAGAAATAAAAGTTGATGATGCAGAAATGATTGAAAAGAAACTAAATGAGCCCAATATAGAGCAGCTACAACAGAAAGTACCAGAAGAGGAATCTGTCTCTACGGACATAAAAACTTCTGATAGTCAACCAATTGATGAAAGTAGTTCAGATTCCACAAAAGAAGAAACTGAACCAAAGCTTATATCTGAAGTTTCCACTTCAAGTGAAGAAAGTTCTTCATCTAGTGATGTCACAGATGGAAATAGTAATTCTCCTAAGACTGATGAAGCTCAACCTGTTGATATTCAAGAGGAAACAAATATAACTGATGTCACAATAGAAAAAGTGAATGTAGTGCAACCTGCAGAAAATTCTTCCACTTCTGTAGATAATACAATTCAAGAAACCCCAACTCAATTAACTATACAACCTGATAATTATTCAATTTCAGATGTTAACTCTGAACTACCCCAACATTCACCTAAAAAAGCCTCAGATAAAAGTGTAGAATCAACTCCAGACAAGGAAAAGGAAGAAGAAGAAAAATCACCAGATGTGGAAAAAGATATTACAGACAAAATACAAGTTGATGAAGTGACTGACAACACAGAATCACATGTGACAACTGATATTTCTGAATCATGAATTTAGCCATGTGATGTCACAGTGGCAGTACTGATATTGTGTTAGCAAAACATAACTTGTAGTTTTCAATATAATCTAGAACTATATATTGTGTCAAAAACTTTGGTCACACCAAATGTACCTATCCAGCCTAACAATTGCTAGTAAATAAATAACTGAAAAATTTGTACATGTATTAATATCATGTTTATATAAATGTTTAATTTTTAATTGTCTTTGCTATGCCTTAGGATTATATGGTACAAATATTCCTGAACCCCCAATATGCATATTGTTAAAATAAGGTGTGATACTTACATTACATTAAAAATTACTTTCTTAAGTTTTATACTTATGCAAACCAACGAATGAAAGACAGCATAGTGGTACTGTTTTAGTTACACATATCAAATAGCCTCTGATCTATTTTTAATGTTTGTCTCCTAGCAATATTTAAGTCTACATAAACATCCTGAATTCTAGGAACTGACAATTTATGCATTAAAAATTAGTGTGTGTGATAAACGAAGTATTAAGTGGAAAAAGAAATTTGAAAAAGAAGAAACATGACTTACAGGAAAAATTTAACATTTAATAGATTTTTCTTATTTATGTAATTTGAAGTACTGAAATAGGCGTAATTAAAACATTGTGTAGTACTGAACTGACCTTATGATGATATAATTGTGTAACAAATAAAAGAATACAGTTTGTGAAAATAGCATCTTTAATTTTCTATTTACATTAATAAAATAACAACTTTATTATATGATAAGTCAATATTAATCACAGCTCTATTATAGGACCCTAATTAAACCAGAACAATACTTAAAATATGACGTACGACTATCACCTATATACAATTATTTTACTATTAACAACATTATTAATACTATTAGATAGACATCACAAAATTAATGTTTGGATTTGCGTCCCAAAACTTTGAGCTCGTTTCTCATGATTTTGCCTGCAGCATTCCTGGGTATGCTGTCTAAGAAAGCGACTCCGCCCTCCAGATGCTTGTATTTGGTTAATTTAACAGCTACCAAGTCGTAGATTTGCTTCTCGGTGAGTGTATTGTTCGGTTTAAGAACAACGAAGGCTTTCGGTACTTCCCCGGCCAGCGGATCCGGCATCCCTACTACAGCAACATCCGCCACTTCCGGCTGCTCCATAATTACACTCTCAATTTCCGTCGGTGATACCTAAAAATTGAAGGGATTTCTATCAGATATTTTTTTTCATACTCTTTATACAATAGGCTAACCGTACCATGTACCTCACAAAATATACTGCGCGCTCTACGATATCCAATAGCGGACATCGTATTATGAACCATATTTGGTAGATATTACAACCGCAATTTGGAAATTATATCGAAGACCAGACAAAGAAATTATATCAGTTAGGTATGGTGGTCGATCATATAGATTTTAAAATAATTTCCAGTAGATTAAATACATACCTGGTTACCCTTAACTTTAATGAGTTCTTTTGTGCGATCGACAATGTAGAAATAATGATCGTTGTCATAATATGCGACATCGCCCGTATGTAGCCAACCTTCGCTGTCTAATGTTTCTTTAGTAGCCGTCTCGTTGTTCCAATAGCCTTTCATCACCTGCAATGGAAGAAGAAAGCGATCAAATGAGATGAATTATTTGTAGAATAAAAAATTCAAGAAAAAGACATAGAGGGTTTATTGGTGCTGATTGATAAAACAGAAAGTCTACTAAATTCTGCTAAGAACCATTTCAAAGCCACTGATCATTTTAGGAGCATAAGTTATAATCCCATACGGGAAAAATGTTACACATCTTTTGGAAAGAAATTATGTACTTATTTACAAATTATTATTTTATAATAAGAATAAATTAAACTTATTTCGTATCTGAATTATAAAAACATATTTATTAGATCAACCAGTGTATCTTCGGCAGGGACCTTTATTTGTGAGGGCCAAATATTTCTCCTCTTCTCATCAGACTTTGGTTGTAATAAACAGTTTTACGACCAAATACAACCTTGATCTGTAAAAGTTAATGTTCAAATTATGATTCAACCTACCTGCGGTCCTCTCAACAGCAGTTCTCCGGATTTGTGAGGGCCTAGATTCTCCCCGGTGGTGAGTGAAACTACTCGACCCTGGGTATTACAGATCAGTTGACCCACGGAGCCGATCTTGTTGTATGGATAGTAGTATGGTGTCATCAGACTTACGGGGGAGCTCTCTGTCATACCATAACCTGGAGTATGAAAAATGTATAAAGAACGAGTTACCTTTTAATTACATAATATTCTAAGAATGTTATGAGACTATATTAGTTTTCATGAGTAGGTAGCCCTATAGTCAAGTATCATTGATTTATAGATATGTATTCGTATTTGCTAATAGAACGCTGAGATATGTCAGTGAAATTACCAAGTTTACAAACTGTATACCTGAACCTAGACACCATTACGGTCGTGGTGCGGGAATTTTGTATCGGATGTTAGCATTTATATGTTGGTGTGCTAGCAAATTATCCACCTGGCCGTATGGCTGATTGCTATTTATGATTCTCATATAATAATAAAAAAATCACAGCTTATCTAGGTATAAAACCTATAATAAATTATATAATATTCTTGTAAATTATAATAAAATAATCACATATTTTTTATTGTGTATTTACAAGTATAATTTATTATTATTAAACTATACTTATACATGTTTAAAACAATATTCCAAATTTGTGAAGAAAGTAAAAATGGTTTCTAACCTTGCAGCAATCTAATTTCATCCTTAGTCTTCTCACATTTGAGCAGAAACTTTTCCAACATACTATCAGTGGTGGGGGCAGCGCCTACCATAATTGTATCAATGGATTGAAGATGTTCTTTCTTCACTAAAGGATGAGTAGCCAAGAAGGCAAGCAGTGACGGAACCACAAATAACGTGGTTGGTTTGTATTGTACTAGACAATTGACGTAGCTTTCTGGTGTGAACCTGGAAATCACATATAGGAAAAATTTAATTAATTGACAGCCTCGGTGGTTTAACGGTTTAGCACTCCTTCTTACTTTCGATGGTCACGGGTTCGATTCCTAGCACGTTAAAATTATTCGTACTCATGAGTGACGTTTTCTATGTAACTAAACTATATTATGAATGTGTTTACAAATACAATGTATGCATGAATTTCTATCAGTTGTTTAATACCTACCCATAATACAAGCAGGACCTAGGTGTGAATTGCCGTGGGTTATTATTAAGAGGAGCAAAAACGGTATGACGTCATTATGTTACGCAAGTAAAAAAGAATGCCTCAGGATTCCAGGATGCCTCAGCGTATCAAGTAGTTAACCCATCGTCGAAAATTCACCAGGCATAACTACATTGGTTTCCAGGGGAAACAACCTCCGTGGGGATCAACTACATAGAATTTTGTTATATAGGTACTTCTTATAAATTTTTGAAGTTCAGACGTTGTCGTTTATAGAAGGTTAGTTATATAAAAAATCTTACTTAGGTATAGAAACTAAATGGTAGCCAAGCCTGAGGTTGTAATTCATCACTGCATTAAATCCGTAAATATGGAAAAATGGCGGCACAGTCAACAATACATCCCCGCGCCCTGAAAAATAACAGTGTAATTCTAAGTTATTGTACATTCAAACGTATTATATTCATTAATATTTGTTCGTATTAGATTGGATGTTTACTAGATAAATTATTTTTTAAATTAATAAATATGAAAAGTATTTTGTTCATAGGTTTAGTACATTAGTGTGGAACTAGATGGCGTTGTGCGACTTGTTCATTATTCTATACTGTATTTATGATCATTTATTTTTAATTCAATAACTGTGTAGTATTTATTTAATATATTTTAAAATAAAAAAAAACACCTGTCTTTCAACTGACTCATAGAAATATATTTTAATAAAAAATAATTTAATGAAATTTAATAAAAACAAGAAGAAGCACGATTTTACTGTAATAAACTCACATTTATTGTAATAGAAATAATAGAAATAGAAATAATCTTTATTCAAATAAACTCATTACAAGCACTTTTGAATAGTCATATTTTGATTCTACCACTCATTCGGAATGCAGATTCATCACAAGAAGAATGAGCAAGAAACTTGTGTGTTGCTCTTTTTAATAGATGTTTTTTTTTTATATATAAATAATTACAGTGTAACAAGTAAGAGGCATGCGACAATCAACATAGAAATCGCTACGCACTCATTATTAGTGTAATCAGATAATATTGTCAGTGCTATGTATTTAAAATTTTTCTACAAAAACATTATTATCGTTAACGAATTCTTCAATTTTATAGTAAGCTTTTTTGCAAAGGAAGTGTTTTATTTGACATTTAAATCTTTTTTCTGGCAGATTTATAACAGACTCTGGTATTTTATTGTAAAACCTTACGCAATTGCCATAAAACGAATTACTAACTTTAGCCAAACGACATTTAGGTAAAATCAGTTTGTTATTGTTACGTAAGCTTTTATTAGTGCAATCACTAACTCTTTTGAAACTGTCTATATTCTTCCTGGCATACATGATGTTTTCATAAATATATTGAGAAGCAACGGTGAGGATATTTGATTCCTTAAAGCACTCTCGCAAAGACTCCCTGGAACCCATGCTATAAATGGAGCGAATGGCCCTCTTTTGTAAAATAAAAATTGTATTTATATCAGCTGCTTTGCCCCATAACAAAATACCATACGACATAATGCTATGGAAATAGCTAAAGTACACAAGTTTAGCCGTTGCCACGTCTGTTAATTGTTTAATTCTTCTTACCGCATAAGCGGCGGAACTAAGTCGACTCGCTAATTTAGTAATATGAGCGCCCCATTGCAACTTGGAATCTAATGTGATACCTAGAAATACAGTATCATCCACAAAATTAATAGGTTTATTGTCCAACGTGATTTTTGAATCTACCGGCCTTACATTGGGGAGAGTAAATTTGATACATTTAGTTTTATTTGCATTTAGTAACATATTATTAGCCGTAAACCATTTTAAAACATAAGAAAGAGCACCGTTTACTTCGTCCAAATCATCAATATGTCGATTGACTTTGAATACTAATGAAGTATCATCAGCAAACAGAACTATGTCAGCTATCTTTTCTACCATATAAGGAAGATCATTTATGTAAACTAAAAATAAGAAAGGACCTAAAATAGAGCCCTGAGGAACACCCATTTTAATACTAGTTCCCTCAGACTTTACACCATTTATTTCGACAACTTGCATTCTATTATTTAGATAGGATTTCATCATGCTTTGTGCTTCATATCTAATACCGTAATGTTCAAGTTTGAGCAAAAGTGTTTCATGTTCAACGCAATCAAATGCTTTTGAAAGATCACAAAATACACCGACTGCATCCTGAGACCTCTCCCAAGAATCAAATATATATTTAATGAGAGCTACACCGGCATCAGTAGTTGATTTACCGGCCGTGAAACCAAATTGTCGACTGTGAAGCAGTTTATTTACTTTAAAGTGTTGCAGCATTTGATTGAGCATAATTTTTTCAAACACTTTACTCAATACTGGTAAGATAGATATAGGCCTATAATTACCTACCACAGTTTTTTCTCCTGACTTAAAGAGTGGAGTTATTTTGCTATGTTTCATTAAATTGGGAAAAACACCATCAGAAATACATTTATTGAAAATAATTACTAAATATGGAGCAATAACATCTATAGCGGTGTTAATAACTTTAACAGACATGCCCCAATGGTCTTCAGTATTTTTTAAATTTAATTGTTTAAATGTTTTAGTAATTGTAGCAATGTCAATAAATGTAAATTTAAATGTAACCGGACAAGAAACAACATTGTCAATAAGGAATGATTTAGCTGTACTAGGAGAAGAGTCCAAAGAGGAAGTAATATCAGTTGGAATATTAGCGAAAAAATTTTCAAAAATATTGACTATTTCTTTTGTGGACGTTACTAGTTTATCATTATAATTTAACGTAAAATCGTTATATGGACTTTTAACTTTGTCAGTTTCTTTGTTAATAATATTCCACACTGTCCTTATCTTATCCTTGGACTCTTTAATTTTTTTATTTAGATAATTAGACTTTGCTACATTACATACCTTTTTAAAAGTTTTTGAGTATCTTTTTACATAATTTACGAATGTACTATCGAAACGGTATTTTTTTTGAGCATATAAATCAAATAATATATTTCTACTTTTAAGAATTCCCTTTGTAGCCCATTCTGAAAATTTTGTTTTGTTAATAATACTGATAGTTTTTTTGTTAAAAGCCTTATTATATTCGTTAGAAACAATATTAAAGAAATCTGTATAAAGTTTGTTAGGTTCATTAGATGGAAGATAAAAATCTAATTTACTACGAACTGATATTTTAAATTTATTTATCTTATAACTAGTCAAGTCTCTTTTTAATAAATTAATTTTCCCAATTTTGTTTAAGTGATTTGGAAAAATAACTATTTGACCACAGTGATCAGAAGGAAGGTTGTTTATTATTATTTTATCTAAATACTCACTGTTGCTAAATATGTTATCCAAGCAAGTAGCAGACGTGGCAGTGATACGAGTGGGTTCGTGGAAGACATTACTCAAGTCAAAAGATTGAAATAAACTCATTAATTTAGTTTTTGTGGTATTATGTGATAAAATGTCAACATTGAAATCACCACACACTATAATTTTTTTGTTAATATTAAATACTCTTTTTAAAATATCCTCCATTACCTCTTCAAATAAATTATAATCACTATTTGGAGGTCTATATACACATATAACTAAATAATTGACTAGTTCCACACCGGAAATTTCAATACAACATTCAACAGAAAGATTGCCAATATCACTACGTTCTTTTACTTTTATATTATTTTTCACCAATATCATAGAACCTCCTCTATTTACTATTTTTCTATTAAAGCAGCTGACAATATTATAATTGTTTAAGCTGAACATCATATTGCTCACTTTGAGCCAATGTTCAGTTAAACATAGAACATCTATATTATTTTTTTCTAAGAACAATTGAATAATTAATTCACAGCCGAGAAAACTTTGTATGTTCTGGTGAACAATTTTCAATTCTGATAGCTTTCCCTTTGTCTTTTTCAGCAGTTTAAATCTGCAGTCATATTTAAATTTTTGTAAATAAAAGGATTCTTACTAGAATCAATATTTATGTCAATATTTTCAGTATGTTTAGTATTAACATTAGTACAAGTACTACTAATTGGATTAATGCAACCCATTATATTACTTATAATGGGGTCATTTATATTATAAGCTAGTAAACTAGCTATATTTGTTATTTGTTTTTTAGGCAGATAAAATCTATCTCCAGTCATACAAAAGTTTGTAACAAATTTGTTACTATCAAAAAATAAAAAGTCATTATGACGACATGTCATATTATAAATTAAATTATTAATATAATATATGAACTTATTTTGTTCAATGGTCAGAGAACGACAGTAAGGAAATGCACATAATATTATTTTACCTATGCCCAGCTCAGCATCTCATTGTATTACATAGATACATATTTTGTTTATTTAGAAGAATCTATTAAAGTTGTGTTACATGTTAATATATATCTAGACTCTAAACTCTTGTAATAATATATATATATATATATATACGTAAATAGTGGGAGACTAACTTCAGTTTACTCAGCCGATTTACATTATGTTGGCAAATAGTTCACAATTATATGCTATTGTAATATTTGTAAGGTGATAAGTACTGTTTTATGCAAGTGGGTATATTTCATTTTACAAGAATAGTCGACATCGTGGTTTTCGAGACAAAATTGCAAATTACTGGCTTAATTTATAACGCAATTGACGGCCTCGGTGGTCTAGCGGATTAGCACACCGCCTTACGTCTGATAGTTGCAGTTCGATTCCTAGCCCTGTACAAAAATTTGTATATGTATGTATATAATATTTGTAAAAGAAGTCGCCACTCAATAATTACGATAAAAATCAATATTCTATTATTATTTCTCAATATCTAATTTCTGTTGCGTTTGTCAATCTGTTATACAAAAATCGATAGCGAAATAAATAATTATTAGATACTATGTAGGTATATGCATACATTAAATAAAATTGTGAAATATATTTTTTCATTAGTAAAAATATAATAACATATTGTGTATCATTTTTTCCATTTCAAGAGTACACTCCGAATTTCGTAGTACCTAACTATAAAGAACAATAAAATTAATAGGAAATTCAACAGCTATACACGGTAATAGGTACGTAACTTCAATGCAAATATCGTTTAAATGTAATCAATGTATAATAAACTGATTACGATATCTAGGTACGTATAAGGAGTGCAAATGTGGGATAGTACTACTTGACCAGGTATATGTATAGAAATTGATTAGATGAGCTTTGTGAATTAGATAACATATCGGATTATTGTTATTACGAACAGCTGTTGAATCCGCCATAATCTGCTAACTTCATTCTAACATAAATTAAAATGGAATTGTTAATTATATTCCAATAATTTATTGATCATAAAACCTGAGGGCTGGGAGTTTCACTGAACTATAAATACAAAAGCAAAGAACACCCAGACGCCTATTCAGGATCCCAATGATATGCCTGTATGCAGGCACTGCTTTTTGGCCAATCATGTAAGAATTCGTAATTAAATAATAAAAATAAAATGAAAATAATAGAAATAGCCAATTCAAAACTTTTCATAAACATGTTAAATTATCCTGATCAAATTCTACTATAGTCCAGCCAGTATTCTAAATATTTAAAATAATATTACGATACTAAATGTAGGTATTAAATCTCTCATTGTAGCTACAATGTTGCAGTAAGCTGACACGTGTAGGTAATCTTTACGTAGGGAGGTAGGTGCCTATATAAATTTTAAACAGTTATTATCTCTAGCTTAACGAGCTTAGGAGGTGTGTCGTATTTATTACGTCGTGTCGTAATCACACAGTAAACCGGTTCACTATCATCGTCTGCATCAGCGACATTGATAAGCCGTCAATGAATATAATCAATGCTAATGCCACTTGGTCAGACATAATTTCATTAAAAATCCCGCAATTTATTACACATATTAATTACGTATACTAATATTTTATAATCATTATGACTTTTATATTCCAAGGTTAGAACGAGTTTACATTATACACACCTTGAACTAAATTACTATCATAAGAAGTAAAGATTTTTATTTATTGTATCTAATGTATCAAAAAATAAATAACTTATAAGTATATGCATTTTCAATAACAAAAACCTATATTATTAACAAATACAATAAGCATATATTTAATTTAAATAGACTATAGAGATTCCAATAATTATCTGGAGAACGTTTATTCGTAATCGAATGATTTAAAAAATATGTTTATCACATATATTAAAAAGTAGTTACAAAACGTTTAGTGTCTTAAATATTTATATTGACTCCTCATTTTTATTTACTACAGTTGCTTATTTAATCTTTATTACAGTATATGAGCGTCATAGAACATGGAAGGTGTTGCTATCAGTTAAAGAATATTTAATAGCCCTGCCAGATAGTGTGAATTTTATCAGTTTGGTTTTGAAGGGTAATCTTTGGAAATCCTTTTTGATTTTTTTTACATATTGTGTAGGTATATTGTATTGTTAGTGGTAAGGCAAATTATATGAAACTAACGATGCGCAACTGTTGATAAGAGTAGTACCTACAATAAAAAAATACAGTCCAATTGAGTTCTGCTGCAATTGAAATCGATAGATCAGCGCTTTGTTCAATTGATTGATTGAATGATTCATTTTTATCTGTATCTACGTATGTTTTATTGCCATGTTATCTATGGCTATTAATATGTAGGTATATATATCTATCTAAGTTAAAACTTACCGGATTAAACATATTATATACTTAACCGTATCAACCTACAGGTTTTTCTGGACAAAGAGTTTATTATTACATTAGCAATCTGCCGGGTGACTTTGGGACGCAATCGAATCTAAATCCAATCATAACAATGTACCAATTCATTGACATATTTTGTATATTGTATAATCTATCTTGAAAAATATTATAGTAAAAAATAAATGTTGCAGATATAGTATAAGTCCGGCAATTTGGATGTCATCCCAATTTTAAAAAATCAATTTGAAAAATTGTCACAACGAATTACGAAATGTTCCCCATAGGACGAGTTGTTAAATTATCGTTTGCGCGTGTGTACTCTGTCCTACATTTACCGCGATGCAGTTTGCATTGCAAACTGTGCTCTTTTTGGAAAGTGAGATGCGTTTTTATTGTCAACAAAAAAACGCAGGGTATGGAGGCATAACACTTTGGTCCTTAGAAAAGAAGATCGCTACAGAAGTCATTTAATAATCTAATTTTCATGATAATATTAAGATATAAATTGTACAATTATAATGATTGAAAATTGTACAGCTATTATAATAACATTTTTAAAATGTGGCACATTATATTATACAGACGTTCGTACAAAAAACTGTAACACTCACTTCACACACTTAGCATCCCTATCTTTACTATATATAAATATTAAGAATATTTCTTTTCAGGTTTTTACTCATAAAAGCATCATATCAATATCGATTTGATTTTGTTTTGTGTAAGTGCAATACAGCACTAGATGTAATTATTTACTTCTACACAGGTTTTGATTTCTCTTTCATCGATGGCGACGATTTTTTAATATTAAAAGATAATCTTAGTACAATTGTTAAATAAAATACTTATATATACTTACGAAATATGTCTGCAATGATATGAATTGTGAGTGGGTACGTAGAAGTACGTACCTTTCTCTCCTTTATATTTCATAATGCTGGGGCACTGAACCTGCTTTAGGTTAGTGACAAGGTTCTTGTGCGTCAGCATCACGCCTTTAGGCATGCCCGTGGTGCCACTCGAGTACGGCACGAGGCACACGTCATCGCAGTTCAAGTTCGGCAAGTCAGACTTGTGGTCCGCCGCCAACAGAGAGCGCAGTCCATATATTCCTGCGTATTTATAAATAACTACGTTTAACCCACAAGTCAATCTGCATAAACTCTCACTCTTTAACACCCATTCCCACAATATTGTTTGGGATCGGAGATACCCTATATCTGTATTCGTGATACAATATATATTGATGGGAGAATGGGATTGTTAGCAATATGGACCGATGAGCCCATTGCTATTAATGGACCACGTCAGATTAACATCCAATTGATGGTGCTCCCTGGAAATCATCATGATAAATACCTGCTGAATTTGTTACTATGGGCTAACTAATCTGACCTCATGTTCACCTAATCATCCTACACTGGGGTTCAGCCAGCGTAAACCGTTAGCGCATACGGGCGCATAAACACATTGCATTATCACTAATTAAAATATATATATCTTAATGTTAAATTTCATTAAGAACGGTTCAGTCATTTAGTCGTTAGAAGATATCAAAGAGACAGACACACTTTTGCATTTATATTATTTATATATTGTATCGCAATAAGTCTTCGATGCTAGTAATGATTTATGGCCAGAATTATTATTTTAGCGATATATTCGATTACCTACTTATGAAGTAGGTACTCGTATATAGAAGTATGTCTAAAGATAAAATACCTACGTATTAATGTGCACGTCATACAAAACCAGAAATAAGTTTCCACCTTATTACAAAATATATGTATAGGTAATAGGCCTATGAAAAGGTACTATATGAAATTAATTTGATTTTTGTTTTATTAAATAAGGTACTTAGGCAAGTTTAATATGTCAAACTCTTATATTTGCAAACAATTTCGGTAGGAGATAATATTGTTAGAATTTGAAAATTAGAAATTGTATTTTAAAATAATTTTCGAATACTAAAATAATTTACCTCTACACGTATTTGATAGGACTTCCCAAATAGAAGCTAACACGTAATTGTAACACAAAAACTTAAATCTTTTCCATATATGATTTAATCTTATTGTGTATATTTAATATTTTGACTTTTTGTTTGTATCCGCAGATTTCAACTTAAAAATGTAAAGTTTCAATAATTATTCAAAAGAGCAACACGCAGTTTTGCTCGTCCTTTTTGTAATGAGACTTGCTATCCGAATGAGCGGTAGTTTAAAAAAAGACAACTTAGGTGATTAATATTTTATATTCTATAATTAAAAAAATATATTTTAAATAACGATGTAAACACACCTTTTGTTTTGTCATCCTCTCCTCCGACCCATATGGTGCCTTTATAATCTTTGAGAGTGCTGCTAACTTGCTGCGCGACTGGCATGAACATTTCTATAGTAGCAATCACCTTCACATTGCAATCTGAAAACTGTCGCCGTAATTCCTCTGCAATAAAACATAATAATAATATTATAATATACATAAACAGCTAATTTTTAAATTATAATCATTAACCTGCCTTTTAATATCATTAGAAATATATTTATCCAGTTTGATTTCAGATTGTTTATGCGTTTGATGACATGATGAAGCAAGGCATGGACAAAGGCAAGAAGTGATAAAATTAACAGCATCCATTGCTAGTAGAGGGCCATAAAATTAAGATAACAGATGAAACCGCGGGTAAACCATGACTTACACTTAGTTATTGTTAGTCGATTTTCGTATTTGATAACCTTTTTTTGTCAATAATACTAACTGACAAATTTATTACCTTTTCATCAGAATTGATTAGGTACGTGAATATTAGTCACCTTCAATTTCAAGAGTGTTAATAATAAGTGAGATATGATATAAATTTTACTTTGAAAAATTATTTTCAATTTTATTATTTATGACATCGGTGGTCTACTGGAGTAGATCACTTTTTCGATAAATACAGACATATGCATTCATTAGTAGGTATATAATAATAGTAGTAATAAACCTGGACAATTAATACAGCGCCATTAGTTTTGACCAAGTTAAGCAGAGCTTGTGTTATGGGTACTAAACAACTGATACAAATACATATATTTATTTGTAAATATATAGTATATATGTATTACATACATAATAATATAAAAAACACCCAGACTAATACAAACTATCATACTCATGAATACAAAATGTCAGTGCAAGGAATCGAAACTGCGACCATCGGAAGTAAGGCGGTGTATAAAAGCACTAGTCCACTAAGGCCGTCAGTATACTTTCAGTTTGAGTGCTTTTTATGTATATATTATACAGTGTGCTATTTACAAAAAATATTTAAGTATACCATATATATATCATCCATAGCATATAGTATCCATAGCATTTACAAACTCTATTTCTTCCTCACATTTTTTATCATTTATCATCATTATCTCAAACACTCTCTCTCTCATTTTATTTAAATATAAAGTATCTATCAGTTTGGTTCGTATAGATAAACAAAAATAATTAACATTTTATGGATAATGTAATCAAAGTTCTTTCTACCTACGGTTTGTGCCCAAATTCCACTCCGGGCAACGACTGCAACTATATCGAAACCTGATTAATCTAAACCATACAATGATATACAAACCTAACGTCATTGTCATACGGTTTAGTTTGTTTATGCATTACGAACGATGCACGTCTCCTAAGCGTTTAGAATATCGTTAAAATTTTATTTATCCCAACATTCAAACAACAGCGTTAACTTTACAAATTAGTTACTGTAAAGAAAGAATATCATCTAGGAAAGAAATTTAAAAATATACACTATGCATACATTCTTATCTAATCTAATATTTATGTGAATTATGAGATTATATAAGCAAGCGCAATGTCATGTATTATCATGAAGGTATCCTGTAATTGCCTCTAATTATGACAACACTACTAGATAGGTAGTGCCTATTACATTGTTGCTTTAGTTGATAATAACATCAATAAATACAAGAAGGCTCTGGTATCTATATACACGAAGACGTATAGTCATATGTCCACGGAGGACAAATACCACATCATGTGAATAGCAAAATATTCGGACCCACCTACTATTTAGAACACAATTCTTTGTTATAGACATTGTATACCGTAATGCACTATAGGGATTTTTAACACGGCTGAAGATCAGCTCCTGCTCGACTTTAGTCTCAGGGTACGGCTAGGGGTTTAAAGTGAAAGGCCTTCGCCATCGTGCACAAATTGTTCTCACTGTACTTTCATACGAACGTGCACGTATAAAAGTGCAGTGAGAACATATAAAGAAAAAGCACCCAAACCTCAACAAAAAATATATTAAGACTTATACGCTTAAAGCCATCAATAATTGACCAATTTGTGTTAGGTCCATAATGGACAGACTTCCTGATTTCTACGGATGTATTGAACACTGTACTCTACCATTAAGTATCCCGTGGACATATACTAATTCTTAGGTCTTCTACACTGATTACAAAGAATGAATCTTTAGCAAAGCTATAGAATTCTTAGAAATTGTTAACGTAGATCTTAACAAATGTCTTACCAGCTGTATAGAGTGGGTTGGCGAAAGTTAAAACCAGGCCTGCCCTCATAGCTCCATAGGCAATAACGGCAAACTCTGGAATGTTTGGCAAAATCAGACCCACTCGGTCTCCTGGAGACAATCCGAGTGGCCCCAGCAGCGCTTGAGCGCAGCGCTCCACCAACATACGCAGCATACCATAGTCGTATGAGCGCTCGGATAAACCGCATGTCTGGAAATATAAAAAAAGATGTGTCATCACATAAAAAACTATATAGCATAGAATTATATAGTGGCCTGTATACTAGCAATTCTATCTTTTCCAGAAGGAGTTATGCTTTAAAAAATTCTCTCGATTTCAAACTATTGATCAAAATATTATTAAAATCCGTATAAGTTAATTCGTAAACATGAAAACAATAAAATAGTCAAACAGTACCTTTTTTAATTAAGTCTATTAGAAATTATAAAATGTTATAATCTAACCCCATATATAATCAGCCCCACACTCCGTATGCACGGTATAACACGAATCACGCCTCTTTAACTCACTTAAAAAATGAAGACGTTAACAATTACTTGTACTTCTTCTTTGTTCGCTTGCTATATGATTAACATAAAGTCGAATCTTCGCGTATTCTAAACAGATGTTAATGTTTGTATTTACAGGTTTCTTAAACAAATTGTAGGTGAAATCTAGCGTTGCACGCAAACAAAATATAAAGACCTAATTGAAAAAGATTGAGTTTGTGTAAAATAAAAATCAAGGTTGGGACACTTGCGTCTAAGTGGACAAACTAATTAACGTTAAATATTTATTGTTGGTACATATTATGATATTTTTTAACCCTACTATACCTAGATTATGATAATCGGTAAATTTATTATTTTCATCATAATTATCATCAATTTGAATAGGTTTACGGATACAGATAAAATAGTCACTATATATAGCCTATACTTATTACTAATCTAATTATAGATTATTAATAAGTTTACATTTGTGATTCATACTTCATCGTCATCGTATAATAACTCTAAAACGTACAAACGGCCCTAAAATCAAGGGTAATATTGAAGTGGCAGCAAACGCCCTGGATCCCTTTCTATGCCGCTTCGTGTGCAACGAATTTAGGTCAATCGATTTTTCGTTTTGTGCCTGCCGACCCAATTTTATCCCCACCACAACTGCTCGAATATTACCCCTGAATCCTGTGCAGGACTTTTATCAACTTACGGTTGGGCATGGGTTTTTGCTTATAAAATATCTCTATCTAGATATATTTTAGTTTTTTCAAATGTATTCTATAAAATACAATAAAATATCTAGACTATAACAAATTACTATACACATTTAATCATACCCGCGACTATCGTGATTTAAAGCAGTTGTAAACTCATTACAGAACAAAGATTGTCAATAATTAAATATTAAAATATAACAATAATGATTAATATGTTAATATTCTAGCTAGAATTACTACTATCTTATAGTACCTACTATACTATATTATAGATTTAAAGGTGTTACTTGTTTCTTGTAAGGCTTGATTTGTAAGCGCATATCTTCACATGTTTTATTATTTCGATTTTATATTAACTTTTGTTAATTATTATATATGTTGAACGTGTTTCAGTAAACCTAAAACAATACGCACATACCTGTGTAAACTCATCCAGAGGTGAAGAGGTGAATGAGCAGATTATTGATCTCAACCGTTTAGTACAAAACAATATAAGAGTAAGAGTGAAACGGTACGGCTTTAAGTCTATAAGTGATTACGTAATTTTTTTATACCATTTAGCAGCGTAATTTGCTACAGTCACATATTTTGAATGATAAAAGTACAGTCAGCGCGATCTATATGTATCTACTGAAATGTGAAACAAACTTAACACTTGTTAATAGATGTTCGATACCAATATTTTTGTACCTAAACAATCCATTTGTCATTCTAAAAATATTTCTATGCCATAGTATTAATAAATAAAAAAAACTGTTTTTATCACTCCGTCAGTGGAAACATACAATGTAAATTGTCTATAGTCAGAGCTTTCGTGAGTTTTTCCTTCTAGCATCATAACGATTATAAAATTAAAGACCATTATTAGTTTTATAATCGTTATGATATACTATGTGACAATAGTAAATATTTAGACTATATTATCTATTTACAAATTACAAATTTTAAATAGATTTTGACCCAATTACCTCTTTTTATTGCTACTGACCGCTCTAAGACACGCCAGAGACTGTTCTATCTTTACATTCCTACTCGCCACAAAAAAATCATTCACATTGAACTATAACTGCCACCAGCGGTCACTGAAGCTGTCTAGTATAACGGCACGTGTAGAGACTTAATATAATGATGTTGATGATAATTGTTCAAAGTGTATGTACCAAATGCACGGATTCTAATAGGCAAAATCGTTTTAATTCTCAAAAATAGGAGTAAAGATTTAGTCTCTATGTTATATTCTACCTGCCTGCATCACAAATTCTCCGTAGCGTGATTGTATATGGTCTACAGCTTTCCTTAATAAATGGGTTATCGAACACTAAAAGAATTTTTCAATTCGAACCAGTAGTTACTAAGATTATGGCGTTCAACAAAAAAAAAACAAACTGTTAAGTTTTATAATATTAATATAGATACTAAAAACAACACATAAATACAAAAAATCTGTATTTATCCTTGATGTCTGAGAAAATTCTTAAATAATTTTCATTTCAAAAACATCTAAATTTATCAATTCTACGCAACGCAACGCTACTGGCGACAAACTAGTTGACGGCGAGTTCACTCACCGGACACAAGCGTAGCGGTGACTAAAACATTTCTAATAATTTACATTATTTTCTTCAGTGTTTACAATTTCAATCCGCTACGGTCATGTGTAAATTACGTATATTATGTGTAAATTACGTAATTAAGTCCGATATATTTATTATTATTCCAGTTCATTTCACTCGATTAAACAATCACAAAATTAAATTATCACCTTTCATTTCGAATTCTTGCCATATTAATATTATTAATATGGAACTGTATCTGTCCGTTTGTGTATTACCTTTCACTATTAAACGGCAGAATATAACTTAATGATGATATAAGAAACATAAAACACTTTAAAACACACATATATTTAATTCCTATCCTTCGTATCCTCAGGCTCTACATTCAGGTTCTACTATAATTAATGCCTAAATATTTCTTCCTAAAATAATATTGACCATTCCTACTGATATGGTCTATATGTAGTTGATTGTACATATTATACGTATATCAGACAAGCAGATACACTAATCAAATAAAATAATTAGATAAAGAACTAAAAAATATGTAAAAAATATGTATCTAAGCAAGCAGTTCACGTATACCTTATACGTAATGAAATTTTTCTATTTCGTAACACTTGACATTGAACTGTAGTAATATTACGCATGTATGCTTCTGTATAAGTCAATAAAAGTATAAAAAAACCTGTCATGTAATTAGTGTCGTCGATCGATTTTTTTGTTAATTTTTAAACATTCTAGAAATAGAAATAAATTATAAATTTCGAAAGTATACAATTTTTGCTTGCATTTTATTTTTGCTCTCTGTATGTATTCGACTCTATGTTCAAGGTACAACTAATTGACCCCAAGGAATAGTTGCCCTTTAAGAAACTATTATATATCATATACCTGCATCTATAGCACTGAATTCATGATATTTGTTACTTTTTATCGCAAAAACAAGGATACGAATTCTAATTACATTCGATACAGAAATAGACCATTTTTTCATAGTTTGATTCTTCGGACAATGAAACATTTGTATTCGTAAATATGATTGTTTGTTTCGGTCTGGGTGTTTTCTTTGACTATTACGTGTCTTTCCAAAAAATATGTATTTAAGCATTTCTATCCATGGTCTTATATCCATAACACAAGGACTGCCTAGGTTGGGACTAGAGAGCGCTGTGTGAATTGTCCAGGTATTATTATTATTCAATATTGACAAATACAATTGTCATTAGATATGAAACAGTCATGATTGCGAGATACAGCTAGTATTTTATAAATGCTGTATTCGGTACATAAATTACAGTAATTTGACTAAGACACCGGTATTCCATAAACATTACAAATGACTGCGTCAACGAAATACAGCCTTTGCTGCAATATGAGCCGTATCTAGTACCTGACATAGGTAAAATATAATTAGGTTTAGCAAATGCTGATAGATTACTTAGACAAATAGGTTATATATTAATATTATATCTCCATTTTCATATTAGCCTAAAAGATGACGCTATTTATTAATAGTTAGGAGTGTAGAACCTTTTTGTAGATTTAATGAAATATTTAATGAGGCTATTGACGCGTATTTAAATAATTATTATTGGGCAAACAAACTACGTACCTACTAAATATTATCAACTCAAAACTCTACATTTACAACCAAAAATACATAAAGTTTTTTGATCGGTTGCGTACTCAAAATTTTATAGCGTGCCATCAATGGCACTTTTCTGCTTTATGCTGGCTCATAGCTCATAGTAATAATATATGTTTTATCTTTTAGTTTTGTTCCAACAAATTTTCTGTGAGAGAACCAATAAATTTTACATTATTCTACTTCACACGATAAATAAATTATGCTGAAGCATTCATTTCCTATTCCATGAAAATTTGAAAAAAAAATCTTAGCGGATATTCACTTAATAAAATAAATAACATACCAAGTTTCAAAAAACTTTCCAAGCTGTACTTTCAGTTTTGGCTGTACTTTGATAGTCGTTCGGAATAGAATATACGCTTTATAATATTAATCCATAAAGCCTTCCAGTCACAGACAACATGACATTAAGATTCCAGTAGTTTTTGAAGTTAAATGAAGAATAATTATATTTAAACTGACACACGCTAAATACGCTGCGGAAAATTACCGTAACCTGCAAACGTGTGTCAATTTGTAAATGTTTGATTAGGTTGATAATGGGACAGACACAAAAACTTATAAATTCATGATCTAATAGGACTGTGCCGACTAAAGTTCATACTTTTGTTATTGGAATAAAACGAGATAAGAATTTGGCAACAGTTTTCCCATTTATTTGTTGACAAACCGACATCACAACAGGTACGTGGGTATAAGTGTATTTATACCACCTATATAGGTATACCTACGTAACTATATTATATTTATATGCAATACAGATGAGCGCTCTTTTTATCAT